TCTGCACATCACAGGTTGTTAAACAGCCTTTCTCCTGTCCTGATCTTCATTTCTCTTCATATAGGTCAGTTTCTCAAATAACACTCTCAGCACACAGATTGAATTAGTGATGAGATAAAACCCTAAAAATTTTTTTTCCTGATTTTAAGCCTAAAGCCTCTGAGAACTTGGACTGCTGTCCATTTTTCTGCTCCACTGTATTCTGTGGCTCAACATTGTCTCCTTTTATGTTCAGATGGCTGCAGCAATTACAGACATCTCACCTGGGACAGTCATATCAAATAAAGAAGATATATTTATAAACTTCTTGGGAATTTTATTCTAAAAGACTCTCAGTGGTATTTCCTTGGATCATGTGACAAAGGTCAGATGGTCTTGATTTGATTAAAAAACATTAGAGAAAATTATAATTTAGCATCAACTTAATTTGGAGTGAGATCATTCACTCATTGCTGTCAAGTCACACATTACTCTCCAGCAAGATTTCAAAGGCTATAAATCACACAATAAGAAATAACTCATCTTTCCCTCCTGAGGAGCAGCTGATGGATTAAAACCACCTCTCTGTGTGTTATCTGCACAAGTCCTTACCCACTAGGCTACCAGAGCTTGAAAACGGACAAAGTTGAGTTTTCATAGTTGTTGTTGTTAGGTGCTGTTGAGTACGACTCACAGCAACCGCAGTATCACTCATAACAAAACTATGACCAACAGGTTTGAAGCCTGTCCTATCCTGTGCCATCTTCACCATCTTGACATACTATTATAGCAGTCACTGTGTCAGTCGCCTGGTTGAGGACCTTCTTCTCCTTCACTGACCCTTCACTTTTTCAAGCATCATGCCCTTTTCCAAGGGGTAGCCTCTTCTAGAAATATGTCCAGAATATGTGAGGTGAAGTGTTGTCATCTTTGCCTCCAAGAAACCCTCTGGCTGTACTTCTTCAAGGCATATCTGTTGGTTCTTTTTATAGTCCCTGACATATTCAGCACTTTTCTTCAACATGAGACTTCAAAGGCATCAGTCTTCTTCTCTTATACTTATTCATTGTCTAGTTCAAAGGAATGTGGTGTTAAAGTTGAAACTGGACTACAGAGAGTCCATATTGTTGTGTTGTATAGCATCAACTCAGAACTGACCCATAGCTGACCCTTTAGCAAGTTTTCATAGGCAGTTAATCTTGCAGGAGGAGATTTCCCATCATTTCTACTAGACATCTTTATTAACCTATTTAATTCCTTAGTTACTGCTGCTTTGAATAGAGACTTTGTATCTCCATGTTATTTTCATTCAGTTTTCTTTTCTCACAGAGGTCTTCATATTATTGATTGCTGCATGCAATTTTAGTTAACATTGTGCCATAATAGAGTATTTAACATTATAGCTCTTGTCAAAGTTCTTAAAATTGTTTCCTGCATGACTTTAAAAGGACAGACTCAAGAAAAGCTATTTAATGAAGGCTCAGTTGAGCAAAGCCTATATAACAACTAGTTAATTTTCATTTTTAAAAGAAAGTTAAGCATAAGCACAGACCTAGCGCTGTAACTCAAAATTGAAATCTATTTTCTTCCTAACGTTTTATATAATTAAACTAAAAATTTATATTAACATTGTTCATCCTTATTTTTAGCTAGTATTGCTTAAAAATAATTTTGTTTGCCATATGAGCTTCAAAAAATCATCATTTAAATATGCAATATTTCATCAATTAGATGCATGCACTTAATCATTCCCTAATGTTGAACACTAGTATTTTCCATGGGTTTTCTATTATAAGCACATATTGTGGCATTCGTCACTATGTATATTTAGAATTATTCCCCTAGAATAGATTCCCAGAAATGACATTACTAAATCCAAGAAGTTCTTTGAGGTTTGTTGGTTTGCTGATTGTTGTTGTAGTTGTTTTTGTTTTTCAGTTTGTACTTTATTTAAATTAAATGATACGTAAAGTTATAGGGAAATGACTTCACTGTATATTGATTTTGATAATACAGAAATTTACATATTCACAAACACTTAGAGCATACACTACCATTTAACCTTTTAGTCTAGGTAGTCAAAGTCTTCTGGAATTCCAAAGTTTTTATCAATTTTATTTTCTTCAAATCCAAACTTTCTTTTTGCCCAAGACTTTATTGCAAATATGTTATCT